ACGAATTTAGCAGTGGTTTGTTTTTGTTTTGATGCGTATCGCAAGTGTCGGTAATATTGTCCGCAATTACAAGAAGAGTTCAGTTCTGTAAAAGTGGTCAAAGGACAGTGGAAGCAGTAAACCGTGGGGAATCCGTGAATCAAACGTCTCGTGAGTATTGGGGTCCACGTACAACTCTAGGACGTTACGTTATTTCGGTGACTCCACCAAAAGCATATCGGATCATTTGCTACTGTTTTTTTTGGACGCTGAGGAAAATGAACTGGTGTCGCATATCCTAAAGCTGGAAGTTTCCTGTTACGGAATAACTGTTCAAGACATCCGCAGCTTGGCTTTTCAGGTGGCGGTTCGGAATAAAATACAGCACCCGTTAAACGTCGAGAGTCAACTGGCTGGCAAAGACTGGCTCAGGGGTTTCCGGAATGTATTCTACCCCTCAATCCACTAATACCTCGTAGACATTTGGACAAAGGTTTAACCTTTCAAGAGTATACATGAAACAATCAATTTGTACAAAACGTGGCTGCCCCACCTGGTATCTTAGATTCACAATTTCACACGTTCCAAAAACATGTGGTTTTTCATCTCGTTCATTTTTTTCACATTTCAACGGTCAGTTTATGATAATAAGATACCTTTCCAAGAATTAACGCTGCAAATGTACAATTATATTGCTTACTTTATTAGATGTATGGTGAAATGCTTAACATGCCCACTATGCCCCGCCTACCCCTACCATTCCTACCAAGCAATGATTTATCACCAGGGGGCTTGAATTTCTGCGGGATTAATTTCGTCAGATATTGGTAAACGCGATAAAATTAATTTTTGCTTGTTGTTAAAAAGTATAAAAATTGCCACCCACCAGTAGCAAACCATCACTTATGAGTGAAAATTAGTGCAGTCAAATACATCGTGTAAATTACGAAAAGCCTTGAAAAACAAAGTTGGATTGATATGAAGAGTTTTGCCATTGTAGCCGCATTCCTGCTGGGACTAAGTGTAAGAATAATTCTCTTTATTGATGTTCACATTTGCTTACCAGCCAATATTTCTTACAGGCCGTACATGCGGCTCGTCCTTTATCGGAAAAAGTTCTCGAAGAGATCGAGAGGGTGCGACCGCGCTTCAAGCAGATCCAGGACTTCGTAATCCACACGATTAGTGATGCCCGGTTCAAAAGCTCGGAACAACTTGCCAAATTCCATTCGGATGTTCTCTTGGTAAAGCAAACATTTGTGATAGATGCCATCAAGAAGGAGGATGCTCTACTGTTCCAAGTAGACAATCAACCATCAACGGTGGATACATCTTGCCTTTCGTTCATCAAGACTTTGGCTGACAGTGTCATGAATCTGTCAGGAACGGGATTCTCCACCTGCATCACTGAGGCCAGTGATAGTTTGGAAAAAGTCATTTCTGCTTTCTACGCATTGCTGCAGCTAGATGAAACGGAATACATTGGCATCGGTTTGTTAGACGTTTTCAAGGGTGAGAACATCTTCTATTCTCCCGAGTCGATTCTATACAAACTGCAACAAAAAGCCGTATCAATGGAAGGCTACCCTGCATACCTGGAGGATGATTTGATAAAAACAGTTAACAACTTGGGATCAAACCTGGAATCGCTGGAAATGGCCTACATTGGATGTATGACCACCAGTGAACAAATGCTTAAGGATGGTTTCACTATGGCACAAAATCACATGAGTTTGACTTGCCGAGCTGTGCAGGTCCCGGTATCCTCTAGCCATGGTTCTGACGTTGATGCGGTAGAGACCATAGTTGTGCCGGAAGGTGGACCGTTGAAGGCTGAAGCGGTCAGACGATTCCGTGAGCGATTTGGACTGTAAGTTTAGCGATAGTTTGATCAAAATAAAGGCATTATGCTGTACAGTGTAATCCACTACCAAGTCTACTGGATCTTGGGGACTAACTGGGTACCGTCAGATTCAAGCGATATAATTGTTTTGTTGTTACCGTGCATGCACCATATTCTGAACGGTTAAAATGATCTCAATGCAACCGGATCTGAATGAAAACAATTTTGCTATTTAAAAAATATGTCTTATAGCCGTGTAGACTGAACATTTAAGTACTTTTATTAAATAAATCTGGATGGATAATTATTCAACATTTAAAAAGCGAAGATAATTCGAGGAAGAAGTTTAACCGCAGCTGTCAAATAAACAAGGCTTCAATCTTGTCAATGCACACATATTCAGCTAATTTTCATACTGGCGGTAGAACTTTGACAGTTGCGGTAGAACTCTACGGTAGCCGCCGGATGGAATTTTTTCCTAAGATCCGCAATATTTAGCCGGGAAGTTGAGCTTTTGTTGGTCGTTAAATTCAAACTACAATGCGGTTCTCCTTATTTTCCGAAACGGTTGTCGACTTCCATGACTTTCTTTGCTGACGAGCTCTTTAACTTAAAACTTCATGTACACAAAGTAACAGAGGTAGAGAAACACTTTCTAATCATTTTAAGCGCCTTACAGTTATAAAAGGTCGTACATAGCATAGGTAAAGAAAAATAACGCTACTTCAAAGTTGAACGATGGTCATTAATGTTCAAGCATTTAAAGTATGTCTTGTCGCTCAGAATATGGAACTGTTCACGATATGGTGCTTACACGGTAATTGTAATAAGCATTAAAATCTTAATAAATAAAATATAAAATATTCTTCAGAGAAAAATCAAATGTTTTTCCTTCGATTGTTGAAATTTATTTGAATATGCTATCAGCCTTATTCAACAAGATTCACATAAAATAGTATTTTTTATTTGCAATACCCTTGCGTTGCAAAATCGGTATGCTGCGCACAGTATCCCAATTAAAGTATGTTTCAATTTTACTATTATATCCAAAATTTAATATCCATAAGCTAAAAATCAAGCATCGGAAAGGACTGGTCAGTCGGATGATAAATTAAATCCAAAATATTTATTTTCGAATACCTTTGGAATTCTCTCCACCTCTAGACCACTAAAGTTATTTTTGCTGCGATAAAATGATTGAGCTTAGCAACTGTACCTACAAAGAATGTTACCGTCGCGGCTGGTGTAGCAGAAAGGTTGTGACGGAATTCAGATTTTTAAGTACGGCTTTGATGATAACAACATTGCCGACCTCAAATAGAGGCCATATATAATTTTACTTTTTTGACGTAGGATATCGGCTTTGGCAAGGCAGTGGTACCATTTCACCGTAGCAGCGTCATAAAATCATGTGATATGTTTGCCGCATTTATTTATTTTTCTGAAAAACTTAATCCATATACGGCATCACATTTCAATCACGATTGTGGCCTGACAATGAAACCATTAGTCACATCCTCGACGATGACATCCCACGTTTACATCGAAGAATGCCTGAAAAAGCGTATATTGCCATTCATCCTCAAGCATAGGGGCAAAGTCATCTTTTGGCCCGGTTTGCCCAGATGCCCTACACCAAGATGGTTCTCGTGTAGTATGCTGCCAACAAGATCGATTTTGTCCCCAAGCTAATGATTTCAAAGGAGCGACTTGGGGCCTCCCTTAGCTCAGTCGGTAAATGCGCAGCTACAAAGCAAGACCATGCTGGAGGTGGCTGGGTTCAATTCCCGATCCGGTCTAGGAATTTTTCGGGTTGGAAAATTTCTCGACTTCCCTGGGCATAGAAGTATGATTGGACTTGCCACACAATTATACCAATGCAAAAATGGTACAGGCATCGAAAGCTCTCAATTAATAACTGTGGAAGTGTATCTAGGACACTAAGTTGAGAGCACGCAATAAGCTAATATGCGATATGCAATAAGCTTGAAATGCGGAGAAGAAGAAGAAGACTTCGACGAAGCGGTGGGTAGTCAAGGACATCCAGCAAATGCGGGCAAAATTGACTGTGATCGGGTCGCTGATGGGCTCCATCAAGAGGAAGGATCGAGATTTCGTTCGAACTGGAGAAATGTAACCATCTAATGCTGTAACTTTGAAGTTTTAATAAAAGTACTGTAAAGCAACCATTAATGGACTTTTTAAACTTATTGAATCACGAATTACAGGTCTTACTCATGGTGACAAGTTCCACCAGGCATTATCTTCGGATTACATCCCGATCACCAATTTTTCGGCGGTGTTGATGTCGATATCAGTGCTAATAAATACGAACCTTAACAAACATCAGGCAGATCCTTCAGTGAAGGCCTGTTTTAAAAGATAATCCAAGTTGAAGCTTACCGTCATCAGAGTTTGGTTCAGTGTTCACATCTTATCTCCCGGACCACTCGCTTTGTGTTAAGATTGGCGCTTCCTAATCTTAAGTATTTACGGACACCTCTGACGTTCGCTATGAAAGTACATTAAGACCGCTATTGTTTTCGTTGTTTATTATAAATCTTTCTCGGCTACTGCCACCTGACTATTATATGCTGACGACATGAACATGTACATGCTCATCAATAGGATCGCTGATTGGAAAGATTTGCAACTGATTGTGGATCGTTTGCAGAGTTGGTGCTTCCTTAATTACTTGACGCCTAGCATCAACAAGGGCGTCGTGCTTCGTTCCACTATAAACCAAAACCTATCGAATATTATCAAGTTTAAAGCCTGATTGAAATTATATCACTAGTGATCGGAGTCAGAACCTGTTAACAATATTTTCGTTTATTGACTGGTGAAAATTTTATCAAAATTCATCAACGCGTTTCAAAGTTCTAGTTAAATTATAAACCAAAGAACTTCGCATAAGAAAATAAACTGCACACACAGCAAAACAATAAATGGTGCAACTTGTTTTAAAAAATCGGAAAATAGAAAAATATGGTGGCACAGCAATGAATGCGAGAGATTTGGAATTATAGTTATGTGAAATTATTGAAAGACATAAGTCTGATGGGCTGACAGAATCGGGCCATTACTGTATTGAGTATTGGTGGAGGCTTGATAGTGAGTCATAGATAGACAGCATAGATATTTTTTTATTTTGTCAAATGTTTAACCATCGTTAAATTTACAGGCCAAATCGTTCAAGGAATCGTCTGATAGCTTCAGGATCCAACGAGGCCACCGCGGGATTGCTGTCTGGTACAACTTCGGTTTGTGGAGTACTGGGTACCGGGACCTGCACAGCTCGGCAAGTCAAACTCATGTGACTTTGTGCCATTGTGAAACCATCCTTCAGCATTTGTTCACTGGTGCTCATACATCCAATGTAGGCCATTTCCAGCGATTCCAGGTTTGAACCCAAGTTGTTGATTGTTTTCATCAAATCATCCTCCAGGTATGCAGGGTAGCCTTCCATTGATACGGCCTTTTGTTGCAGCTTGTACATAAGTGACTCGGGAGAATAGAAGATGTTCTCACCCTTGAAAACATTCAACAAACCGATGCCAATGTATTCCGTTTCATCTTGCTGCAGCAATGCGTAGAAAGCAGAAATGACTTTTTCCAAACTATCACTGGCTTCAGTGATGCAGGTGGAGAATCCCGTTCCTGACAGATTCATAAAACTGTCAGCCAAGGTCTTGATGAACGAAAGGCAAGATGTATCCACCGTTGATGGTTGATTGTTTACCTGGAACAGTAGAGCATCCTCCTTCTTGATGGCATCTATCACAAATGTTTGCTTTACCAAGAGAACATCCGAATGGAATTTGGCAAGTTGTTCCGAGCTTTTCAACCGGGCATCACTAATCGTGCGGATTACAAAGTCCTGAATCTCCTTGTAGCGAGGTCGCACTTTCTCGATCTCTTCGAGAACTTTTTCCGATGATGGACGAGCCGCTTGTACGGCCTGTAAGAAATATTACCTGGTAAGCAAATCCGAACATCAATAAAAAAAAACTCATTCTTACACTTAGTCCCAGCAGAACTACGGCTACAATGGCAAAAGTCTTCATTTCAAATCAATTTATTTTCAAGGCTCTTCTTGATTTACACGATGTATATGACTGCCCTGGCTTCCAATCTCTAGTGATGGTGTGCTACTGGTGGGTTGCAATTTTTATACTTTTAACTGATTTATGCCACAAACAGCCGCAAAACCGATTTTATCGCGTTTACCTTTATCTGCCAAAATTAATCCCGCAGAAATCCATACGGTGATAAATCTTTGCTTAGTAGAAACGCGACGGCTTAATTACGTCCGCATGGCGGATGTTAGGTACGTGAAGTCATTCAAAATTATTTATGAATGAAAATCTTGACCTTGAGTCAACTTGGGAACAGATTTTGAAGGACTAGTACGCTTAAATTCAATTGAAGGTGTGGCTGGTTTACTGTTTTCGTTTCGTAAAACGCTGGGTCCTCATTGTTTACTTTCCTGTTTCGTGTTGGTTTTACAGTGCTGTTCAATATAATGGTCGTGCTGGCCGATTTCCACATTATTGTTCTAAACGTTATACGAAACAGAAGAAGTGCGCTGTAATCGCACAATCATGCGCCATAATGTCCATTTCTTCTGGACAACAACAGGTTTGTCGATAGATTCGGTATGAACTGCATGCCGTGAACAGGAATTCCATCTTCATGCTTCTGGCACACAGGATACAGAATGGCCGGTCCACCTGCTTCGATTTTCATCGTTTCCTTGTTGGCTACAGTACTTGTTCGCTAACGCGCGAATTCCACTCGCTAACTGAGCTGGCTTGTCAAACGTCAGAAAACATTGAGGGGAACTTCAATTGATTGTTCCATCGACGTTAAAAAAAATTCACGTGCATTGAATTGAAACAGTGTAAAGTTTGTTATCGATGTGAAATGAAAATAATATTTATATCCATTCGAAAACCCTTAACCAATTGTCGAACTAAATGTGACGTCTATTTTTGACGTATAACAATAGAGCTAATAAACTATAGAGGAAGAATAGCGCTGCCGTCGCTGTCGAAACATCTTTTCCTTACATCTAATAGGGACACAACTGTCAAAGCGAGAAAAAACTATGCAGTTTGACAGTTCTGTACCTGGTATTATTCAACATTGGAACAAAGGGAACACCAGCGCTATTCTTCCTCTGTAGTATATTAGCTCTATTCGTATAACTGTTTTTTAACTGGGCTACGCTACATCCCAGTTAACGAACGCCCAGTTAACGAACGCCCAGTTAAAGAACGCCCAGTTAGCGAACAAGTGCTGTACAACAAATATCCCATTTGACTTACGTATGTCCTTGAGAAGCTCCAGATCCCTTGTCATATGCCGGGTTGCTCCAGAATCGAGGTACTACCACAAACGAAGTGACAGACGGAGCGGCTCGAAAACTTTGGTAACTAACCTGCTATTTCAATTTTTCAGTGTACCACATGGCAACACCACTACTACTGGATTGTACCACATGGCAACACTACTACTGGATTGTACTAGCATTTTCACCAAATGTATTAGAATGTTTTGGTTCTATCTCTTTCACTCTACTCAAAACTGAAATGCATAAAAAAATGACAAAATGATACACTCAAAGTCATACAGTCAAAGAATCATTGTACACAAAATCAACTTTGTTCAAATCAAAACAAAAAAACTAACCCATCTGGTGGATGATGGCACAAGCTTCCAAGAAAATTCTATTACAGTGAACCACATTATTTTAATGGATTTCTTCGCCAGTTAGTCGTCTGTCACTTCGTTTGTGGTACTACTGATTCGTTTCTGGACCTTGAATCAGCGACAGTACCGTACAAAATGCATCGGTTTTCCGGACAGAACATCGCTATGTAGCCAAATTCACTGCATTTCCGACACTTTGCACTCTTTGATTCCTCTTTAGTTTCCAGTTGCTAGGGGGAACTTCCGTTTTTTCTCTAAACTTACTCTTCGCAACAAATGCTGTTTTTCACTTGGGAACGACTCTTCCTACAGCAAAATGATCCTGATCGACTCACCCTTAATAGCCAACCCAGAATTCTTGAGAGCCATGACAATAGGCTGATACCTCTCAGGCAGTCCTGCCAGTAGAAGGACAACAAAAACAGTTCCGCACAATTCCAGGTCAATCCTTATTAAAACAAACCAAATATCCGCGTCAAGCCTGTTTCCTCGAACGCTTTGGTGAGCTTCATCCAAGCTTCCCGCGCTATAGTTACGTAACGAACTGGGTAGTAATTCGCCGATTCCAAGAAAAGGACAATCTTCTCTTTTGCCTTCCTGTCCTTAAAACAATCAACGGGTTCCAACGTTCTGGTTTAGATAACCGAACAATAACGAATGAGTTCATTTATCTAATTATTAGACAGCTAGCTTCTTCCAGCCTATTACTACTGTTTCTGTTTCATCACCTTTTTTTAGGAGATTTTTAGCCTATGGTTAGTTTATCTCTGGAGAAAGGAGAGGGCTCAGAGTGAGTAACCTCTAAATACATGGTATATTAACATTTTGTAAATAACTTTGGTTGCTGGCTCGTCAACTTATATGGAAAAAAATAACAATATATAAAATAATGAAACAGAGGAACAACATAAAACAAAATTATTTAAGACAAGCTACAAACGATTAATCCAAACAAAACAGAGCGCAACTGGCATGGGTTCAATAGGGGAAATCCATCCAGCTGAGATGTACCGACGGCCGAAAGAAATTCCTGCTATACCAAGTGGTAGATTTTGGCTTCTTTTAAAAAGGTTACTAGTGCTGCCGAGTATCATTCCCGAGCAGATCTCTGATGCTGGAAGTTAGGCAGAGCGACTCCCGAAGATTTTGGAACTCCGGGCAGTTGCACAGGATGTGTTCGACGGTGTAGGGTACCCCGCAGATGATGCAGCTTCTGCGGAACGGCAGTTATAGTAGTTATAGTAGAGTTTGGTGTGCCCGGTCCGAAGCCGCGAAATCACGCGTTGATCCCTCAGGTTGTCCAGTTCGCTACATGGTCCAGTTGACCCTTTGACTTTTCGGATGAAGGCAGTTCTGTTGCGGAACCCATGCCGCTCGAATGGTCCGCATGATCTACCGTCTAACGTCCTATAGGGGTACCTTGCTGGTGAGTCTGGGACCCGATGTCCCGGCTCCGGCAAGGTGATCAGCAGACTCGTTACCTGGCACTCCGCAGTGTCCCGGAATCCATGTGCACACGGTGTTCGGTGGGGCGTACTTGATAATCGTCTGAATCCATAGGTGTTTTGGTGCTTCCGAGGTGATCGTTTGAACGACGCTGTGTGAGTCGGTTAATATAAGTATCGGTTTGTTGGCTGGCATCGTAGCGGCACGAAAGATCGCTGCAGCCTCGGCCGAGAAAACCGAGCACTGTGGAGGAAGACTGCTGTTTTCAGCAATACCGTCTCCGAAAATCCCGATACCTACTCCTTTTATCGATCGGGAGCCGTCGGTGTACCGGTGTACGTGGTCGGCATAATTGGACCCAAGTAACTCGGCGACCGATCTGCGCAGAATCACGGATGCATCCCCTGCTTTGAAGCGGTTCTTGGTCCGATTGTCTAATTGGATTCGTGAAGAGTGCCAACCTTTCTCTCCATGCCAATGGACTTTGGCCACTGGGGGAGGTCGATGTCGGCGGCCGTACGGAGGACACTGTTCCCCTCGTCGAGGAAAAAGATCCTATTGTCCGGAGGTCTTGGCGGAAAAGGCGGCGGCTTTTGTGGTAATATTTGCGTTTAAGCAGAACCGGAAAGGAAGAAGACCCGCTTCGATGCATGCGGAGTCTGCTAGAGTGGATGGCAGGAGACCAGATATGATGCGGATGTAACTGTTGTAGACAGGTGCTAGGGTTCTAACCAGCTTCTCGGAGGCGATACAATTAATTTCCGTCCCGTAAAGCAACCTACTGCCGATGATGGCTCGCGCCACCCGGAACCGAACATCGCGGTTGTTGGATCGGTGAGGCCTAGAGATCGTTTTAAGTCGTTAAGGTTGAGTCTACTGCGGCATTCCTTTTTGACCTGTTGGAAATGCTGGTCGAAGGAGAGCGTTCGGTCGATCAGTACGCCGAGGACGCGAACTGTTTTCCTGGTTGGAATGGCTTGGTCGTGGATCGTAATTGGGGTGCTATTGAAAATTTAGTCGATTGCTGAATTTATGTATGGGCCCAAATTAGGCACCAAACGAAAATTAATTATTTTATTCATGTGTTTCATTTATACATATTTGTCAAAACATCAACCTTATACCAACCGGTGGAAACTAACAATTTAAATTCCTTGAAATCATCGATATAAGTCATTGTTTACAAAAGCTGTTCGCCCTTATTCCAGCTCTATCTAGATGTATATGATATTTTTTCTCCAGAGTAAATTTTTAAAAAGGCGTATTAATAAAATTGATTTTATTTTTTCAAAAAAATCATAACATGAGTTTTATTTATTTGATCAAAATGACAACTGAAAAGAAGCTGTAGGTAATTAAACGTTCTTTGAGAAAAATATACATTGAAAGAAAAAGTATGTAAATTCATAGTAAAAAAAATAAAACGTTGATTTTCTCAAAACAACTGCCTTCAATTTTTATATTTTTTTTTGTAAGAGAAAATCTGAAGTTAAGCTCTTAAATTGGTTCAAAAATGTAAGCTGAAAAATGCTCAATTTGTTATTTTTATTCATTTGGAAAATATAAAGAAATTGCACATTTCTTAGAAAAATAATAATTTATTTAGATATACACATAATTTTTGATAAAAAAAATTTCATAAACTTTTTTTCCTTAGTCCAGCCGTTCTTAAGTTAATGTGAATTTAAAACATAATAATTATGAAAAATCAACATTTTAGACCATTTTCAAATGTTAGTCGTGATTTTTTTTGTTAATTATTTTATTTGTACAGGCACAATCGAATAAACTTTACAGAGCCATTTTCTTTATACATTATAAATGTCTTAAATCTAAAATTAAAGGATTTGAACCGATTACTCGCGGTCTTCTCGAGGTTAGTGGATGACAATTGTTTGGATCGGGAGAGGGAAAAGGAGATTTGGAATATGATTTATGATTCAAAAATTTCACTATTTCTAAAACATATACTTAATCCTATCGACGTTATATCAACTCTGTAATTATACAATTATTACAGAAACAAATTTACAAAAAAAAAAACACACACACATACAAAATACAAACTAAACACAAGGTTAATCAAATTTACAATCTATGGTTAATATTCTTCAAGAAAACATATATGAGTTGCATAAACTCCAGATCGCGTCTAGCCAAAATATCCCGAACTGGAACATTAGGTTGTCTACCTCGAGCCCGAAGGGAATCGTACAACTCGGATCTGACTCCACGGTGCTCAGCACATGACCAAATAATGTGATCTGCGTCCTGGTAACCTTGTCCACATTCACAGAGATTACTGTCCCCCAGCCCAACACGGAACAAGTGAGCGCTTAGCGAATAGTGATTGGACATGAGGCGAGACATCACACGAATGAAGTCTCGACCCACCTCCAAACCTTTGAACCAAGGACACTTCGACACCTTAGGGATGATTGAATATAACCATCGTCCCAAACTCCCTTCACTCCATTTATTTTGCCAGCTGGCGAGTGACTGTTGACGATAAATGAAGAAAAATTCGTCGAAGGCGATTTGTCGATCGTAAATATCGCCTTCCATAGCGCCCACCTTTGCAAGCGACTCCGCCTTCTCATTGCCCGGAATCGAGCAATTAGTTAGTCGTGATGTTCAGCAACAAAATGTGTTTTCCATGATTATATTAAATAACAAATAATAATTTTGAATTATTCATTCTCATATATGGTGGCTGTCAGACTTACCCGTTTGCCCAGCGCAGCGGAAGAACAACAACCCTAATGAACAAATACCATAAACAAACTGTATCCCGGATGGGTAAACTATCCCACAAATGGTTTGGATGATACCCCGACACGTCGTTAAGCTCTCTTTTATGGTTATTTTTATTAGGGAAGCGTATAAGTAAATACTCTCCTCAAAGTAAGGAGGAACGGGTGGTGGCGATTTATCACTAGGTTCCGATTAATGTTCCCAGCTGTATTTGGACGGGAATTTGATTCGCAATATCCGAGCACAGAAAGTCCATCAGCCAGTGGGTGGCTTCCTTCTACAAACTCTTGACCAGTCCCAGCCACGAGTACAGCTTGGGCCGAATAGAAAAAAATTAAATTATTTTCCACCTGTTCGACGTAGGGCGTTTCACCGACTTGGTTTTGATTTTACTGCTTGGTTGTGTTGTTCAGGGTTGCTTCTACACACCAAAAAATTCTGAATTTTACTGGCGATGTAAACATCCATGCATGCAAACATTCATACATGTAAACTTCCTTTTCACGTAAACTAGCAGCTTGCAAGAAATGTTGCTAACAAAAGTGGACAGTTGCATACAATATATGGAATATTGAATGACATGTCTCATAAATTTACACGATCTATAATCTAAACTTGTATGATATATGACGCTCCATTTATGTGCATCATAGTAACGGAAATTTACACTACTTTTTTTAGCTGTGTACTCAATTGCTATAAAAACTGGGTGTTTGGAATTTTGAAATTGTTAAATGTTGTAATGATATTTTGTACTAGTAGGTTACAAGAAGAGGTTGTACAGCAAGTGTTCGACACATAAAATCTATCAATTTCACTTCCAGAGCGTCACAGTAATCGATTCTATGATTCGTGAGCGTTCATTCAGAGTGAGCGCTCACGAATCACAAAATTGCAAATTGTGATGCTCTGAAAGCAGCATTTAGCCGGCGCTGGTGGCGTAGTGGTAAGCGCGACTGCCTTCTCACCCCAATGGGTCTGGGTTCAATCCCAGCCGAGGTCGGTGGGATTTTTCTGAGGCATAAAAATCTCTGGTCACGTCCTTCGGAAGGAAAGTAAAGCCGTTGGTCCCGGCCCATGTGTTGTTGGGTGTGATATCCTACGTAGGTGTGGAAGCTGCCTTCCTTGCACATTCGATTGCCGTCAAAGGATGGCAATCGATGTCCGTCGGTGATTGGCACTAGATTGCGGAACAGAGACCGACGTTAAATAAAGGAAAGAAGAAGAAGAAGAAGAAGAAAGCAGCATTGACAGGTTTTACGAATCAAACACATCCTTTACAACCTCTTCTTGTATCTTACTAGTATAAATTATCATTATAACTTCTAATGATTTCATAATTCACTATGCGCATTGTAAACCTATACACTATCGAAAAAATACCAGGGTCCATCGGAGTGTAATGGAAGTTTACGCATTTACGAGAGTGTATACGTTTATGATGCGCTTTGTGAATACCCCTAATGTTTTATAGCAAGTGAGTGGAAACAAGCCTGGTGTTGTTCCTTCACCTTCAAAACAATACATTTGAACTGTCAAATTGGCTGCGTTGCCAAGCATGCCGTTATTTGCTAGCACACAATGTTGGTCTGATGACTGACACTCTCGACACTGCCGGCACAGCTGCGGTACACTGAGAAAAAAGTAGGCACAACATAATGTGTTGGATAGCATGTATCTCTTCTGTTACCTTTTAAATATATCCCTGCACCAACAAATCAAGAACAAAAAATCTACAATTTATTCAAATGATAGCGGGTGGGGCTTGGGATGAATAAAAAATACGTCCGATCCGATCGACTGCTCGCATATCACTCTTAACTCTGCAAGAACTAGATCAAAATCTCATTTGTCACTATTTTTGTAATATCTTCGTTAATTTTAAACGGATTTTATAATGTTTTAAATTTGTTGGAAAGGATATTAGATCCCCTTTCTTGTGGTTTAATTGGTCACGTGGACGGGTACAATTGTAATATCAATTTTTGGTTTTCAATTTTTTTTGTTGGCTTGACATTCTCCTATTGTCATAAAACGTTGCATAATTGTGTGTTATGGGCAATCATTCACATTTTTGCAAAATACCGACCATTTTGGATCATGTTTTTTTTAATGGCATCTTTAACAATTTTCAATAAATTGTAGCACCAAAGCTGTGAGTAAAAAGTAAGTAAAAATTAAACATAATTGGTAGGAACTAAAATATCTCAAAAAGTATATTTTCAATATTTTTTAAACAAGGCTTATAAAAAAGTAAATTTTTGAAATACTTAATGGAAACAAACAATTGTAGAACATCACATTTTGGCCATGGTTTTTATTTTCTTGTTAACAAGCTTTTTTATGTAATTTTGCACAGATAACGATTTGGAATGTCGCAAATATTAATACCTGTCTAGGAATTACACATAAACAGTATGACGAGCACAGAGAGTATAAACATTTAAGAAAATGTGACCCCTCCCCCGGTATCCAGTATCTCCCCAAAGACGTAGATCCAGTTGACTTAATAGTGATTCTTATTGTACAGCATTCCTTTATTATGATAAGTGTTCAACCAACGTATAATTTACAGTCCAAATCGATTACGGAATTGCTGGATAGCTGCAGAGTCCAACCATGCTGGTGCAGTTTCTGGCACGACGTCGGGTAGTGAAGTACTGGGTACCGGGATCTGCACAGCTCGGCAAGTCAAATCCATGTGACTCCGAGCCATAGAGAAACCATCCTTCAGCATTTGTTCACTGTCGGTCATACATCCGATGTAGGCCATTTCCAGTGATTCCAAATTTGATCCGAAGTTGTTGCCTGTACGATACAGATTATCCCGCACGTGTTCTGGGTAGCCTTCCATTGCACCGGACTTCGATTGCAGTTTGTATAGAATTGACTCAGGAGAATAGAAGATGTTCTCATCCTTGAAAAGGTTCAACAAACCGATGCCAATGTACTCCATTTCATCATCCTGTAGCAATGCGTAGAAAGCAGAAACCTCCTTTTCCAAATTGTCACTAGTTTTAGTGACGCAGGTAGAGAATCCCGAGCCAGCCAGATTCATGATACTGTCCACCAAGGTCTTTATGAATGAAAGACAAGATGTGTCCACCGTTGATGGTTGATTGTCTACCTGAAACAGTAGAGCATCCTCCTTCTTGATGGCATCTACCACAAATGTTTGCTTTACCACGAGAACATCCGAATGGAATTTGGCAAGTTGTTCCGAGCTGTTCAACCGAGCATCACTAACCGTGTGGATTACGAAATCCTGGATCTCCTGGTAGTGTGGTCGTATCTTCTCGATCTCTTCGAGAACTTTTTCCGATGATGGACGAGCCGCATGTACGGCCTGTAAGAAATATTAACTGATAAACGATTCTGAACATCAACGTAGAGACTCATTCTTACACTTAGTCCCAGCAGAACTACGGCTACGATGGCAAAATGCTTCATTTCAAATTAATTTATTTTCAAAGCACTACACGATGTATTTGACTGCTCAAGATGTCACTGGCTAATGATGGTTTGCTTCTGGTGGATGGATATTTAAACTATTTGAACTGATTTGTGTCACAATTACAAATCCGAATTTATCGCGTTTACCTTTATCTGCCAAAATTAATCGCGCAGACATTAGAAACGCGTAGGCTATATACGTACCTTCAGCGAAACGGATGTAAGGTGCGAGAAGTCAAAATATTTATGAATGAAATCGTAACAATCTAATCAGACTTTGACCGTCTGGCTAGGCAATTTATTTCGATGAAACTGTTTCAGTTATAAAATTACCTTTCCATAGCTGCCATTTGTACTGTTTGTGCAAAATATCGAGTTTGAACACCTCTTTGAGTCTGATGGCACATATTAAAATGGCTCAGCTCAAAGAGGCTTTTCTCCATTCAACATTTGATGAAGAAATAAAGTCAGTTGCAATGACATATAATAGGGTAAATTTTGGCTTTGGCACCTACGACTATTCTTGGCAACCAATTTTCAAGCGGTAATTGTACAGCAGAACATCTTGTTAGATGTATTCAAACGATTCCTTGGTTAATCAGTTACAAACTGATTACATTTTGATGTCTAAACAAATTTGTCATGCCAGATTTTTACATAATGCAGCTTATTTAGAGGTGCCGATAATAGGACAATTGGGTTACACGTAAATCAAATTGAAAGGCTGCCGAAGAAAAAGAAGCTGCCAATAATTGTCACACTCACCTGGGAAGTTTAGAGCGTTGAAAAAACGATTATAGACAATTTTGAACAATTAGGTCGATTGGAATACATAAATCAGCAGGCAGCAAAAGAATGTAAACAAACAAGGTCTTCAGTTGTGTGCATGATAACGAGACAACATTGTAAAAAGAAGCATGCACGCTGCTTAGACTGACGAGAATATGTAAATTTCCCTACATAAATCTAGATCGTTTGTTACAAACAAACACAAATTGACATTTTAATATTATCAGGCGCTACTCTGCTTACTCTTCCTAAAGGAAACATAATTGAAGCAGAATCACCCTCATAATACACAGCAAAAAAATAATTTTGATATCACATCAAAGTGGATGCACTACAATCATGTCGAAAATTTCATGTAATTTTTATGACCACATAAATAAACAAATGCAGTAAAAGCAGCGTAATGTCAGTTCATGCATTGTATTAATGATAATTTTGTCCTTTTTAGCAAGTAATATTACACCATATTTTCGACATGATTGTAGTGCATCCACTTTGACGTGATATCAAAATTATTTTTTGCTGTGTATATACAAACGTATCGCCGAAATCTAATCCGGACACCGCAGTATTGTTAGACGAAAATATTTTAGATTTCCCGTGATAATGATATCACACGATACAAAAATGCTCAGATATCGCACGGTATGCGTATTGTCTGGAGCAAAGATTAGGATCAGACGGATTACAATATACGACTATGTAAACAATGGTCAGTTTTTTCCTGCATCATGTCAACTGTTCCAGACAGAAAAAAAACGATTATCAGCATTCGATAATTTATAATTGCCCACATATTTGTAGTTAATCAATTGTAACCATGGAAGCATCAGAAATCGTTAGCTCACTTGAGTACCAGTTCCCTTTTCAATGGCTCATACGTTTTTTGTTTAGTTGTTCATCGTCTTAGCTAGTATTGTATCGTTTTTAATCCTATGTTTAAAATAAGTTTTGGATACATTAAAATCGAAAACATTACACGACGTTGTTGAAGGCTCTGAGGCAGGAACTGAGCGGATTGTTATAGGCATAACACGTCTATGTTCTGGAACAGTAACGAGTACAGAGTGCCACAACTCACGTTGAGAGGTATTTGCAGGAGAAGGTCCGAGTAATCCACGTTATTCTTGAGAATGTCCAATACAACCAGCCGTTGCAAGCGTGTCGAGAGTAGTTCCAAATCAATTAGTCGACATCGTCCCGAATAATCGGGGAGATGAACAGGTTCATTCCATGGTCGATGCCAAAGAGCAAAGCAAATGAAAGATTTCTGCACACGCTCAATACGAATCACCTGAGAAGTATGGTTTGGAGCCCCAATGCACTATGGTCCGAATCGCCAATTTAGCAGGAAAAAATTGTTTTCTCCGTTCTTGGTCATTTTAGATACTAAGCGTCTTGAGAAAACTTGTTTTGTTATCATATCATGCTTCGTTTAAGCAAAAAGCCGGTTAGAGTGGTCCTTATTTGAATCCAAATCCAAATTCTAACTTTTTATTTGAGGTTATAGCGCAGACAACAAATCAAGAAGACTGGAAACTCTTCCATTTTCTCATACGAACGCTATGAGACAGGAACAATCGCGTCATCTGCCGCTCAAAGGTAAATACTTCGAACGAATTTGATAGCAAAGATTACATCCTCAGAAGAAAGGTTTGCGCATCTGTTCATTTTTCTATGCGTTGCTTCCACTTTCACTCAAGCGCAGCGCTATTGTATCTGTCGCTTGGATTCTGGCAAAGTTGCCAGTCTTCTTGATATGATGTCTTCGGTTATAGGTAGTTGCATTATTGAGCAAAATTGTAGAAAATATTATTTTTGGCAACTTTGCTCAATTTAGCTGCATTTATCTATCTCTTTAGTTGACTGTTTAAGAGCATTTATTAAGTATTTAGTTAGGAAGTAAAAAAAAAACAGTTTTTGGCGTAGACTACGTCTTACGGGAAGGTACTGGGGGTAAATCGAAAATCTAAAATTGCGACCGCCACTAAAAGGTGTAAGGTTTTGATCGCTTATAACTTTGTCATTTACAGATGAAATTAAAATCCAAATGCACCAATCGAAAGGAATTTTCATAATCTGCTACCATAAATGCTTTTTCAATTTTCTATAAAAAAAAACTGTTGAAAAATTTACAAATAAAAAGTGGTAATTTTATCACTGTTTTCATGAAATAAACGTTATCCCCAAACCCAGTCGTCATAATCTAATACCATTTGGTTGCACATCGTGCTGCTTCAATCTGAAAGTTATAAAACAGCGCTACTTTTGTGCCTCAACTCATCACTGGAGAGATTCGAGGCAAGGGTGTGCGTCGTTCTACCATAGAGGTAACTCTAAGACCACTGGGTCCCGAAGAAAATCATTATTATTTTTGGCTCACTCAGTACCAGAACAACGGTCCCAAGCAGTCCCAAGCTATTTCACTCACCCCTGCATGTTCTGCATGAATCCACACACCCCTGATGTTATCTGTCAAACTTTCATAGCGAATCAAAACAAACATAGTGTAGTAATAGAATTTCAACTAGAATAGGGTACGTTAATCGTTTGCTTGGGACCAATAGGCTACTAAAGTGGTTAGCCAATTTAAAATCGTTAGTTTCGTATTGATTGTTGGTTCTACCATGTTATACATAAAAATCAAGGCAAATGCTTGCTTGTGTAGGTGAAAGCACAGATAGAACACGAAATAGAAAAGGCAAAAAACCATTACATCGCCTGCAAGGTCAACTTCTAACATTCGCTGCGATGTTCATGAACAGAGGATGATAGGAAATGGAACTAACATTCATTGTATTGTGTGTGGCAGGATAATTTCTCAAAAAGGGATTATACCATCTGTTTTCTGTTTATGGCCGTACGACCAACAATCAATACGAAACTAACGATTTTAAATTGGCTCACCACTTTAGTAGCCTATTGGTCCCAAGCAAACGATTAACGTACCCTATTCTAGTTGAAATTCTATTACTACACTATGTTTGTTTTGATTCGCTATGAAAGTTTGAAAGATAACATCAGGGGTGTGTGGATTCATGCAGAACATGCAGGGGTGAGTGAAATAGCTTGGGACTGCTTGGGACCGTTGTTCTGGTACTGAGGCTGTGTTCCATTTGGAAAATTTTCACTTAGATTTGACACTTCGAAAATAAATTAAGATGTTCGAAAATCCCTCTGTTGTTGATCGGCCGATTTTCGAGAAAGCGTCTGTCAAAATTTATTCCTTGTCTGTCAGAAATAAGTCTGCTGGAATAGCAGGTTTATTTGAAAATTTTCCATCTGTCAAATTTAAGTAAAAATTCACCAAATGGAACACAGCCTGAGTGAGCCAAAAATAATAATGATTTTCTTCGGGACCCAGTGGTCTTAGAGTTACCTCTATGGTACGACTGCGCCCATTGATTTAACACACGGCGGCTCTTTATCCAGGATTCGCTCCTCAAGCCGCTGCCATAAAATACTATCAAAGTTACACACCTGTGTATAATCCTTATGGGCGGAGTTGCTTCGACCGTCACCAAATGAGAATTAAACATAAGCGCGACAATAATAGATTTTTGGTTTGCGTGTACATGTAAACCAAACAAATACAAGAAATAAAGATCATTTAAAGTCAAAAAAAAGTGCCTCAACTCATTTTCGCTTCGGACGGCGGGTAAGAAGGTAGCAGCAGCAGCAGTAGCAGTAGGAAGGCAGCGCTTCCTGTCAATCGCGCAGCGCAGCGTTCGAGTTTTGCACCTCGAACCTTGCGCGTCGTTCCCGTCGAGATCACCGTTGCCTCGATGACGCAAGCGCTTCTGGACCTGGACCTTGCCTATCGACCCATCAACGCATGAACCGGGGATCAACGGCTTTACTTCCCCAAGGAAGTGAGTGATGAAACAGTTTCCAATCTATCAAAAATTGATTCTAATTTTACGTTTTTAAAGTTGTGGTTATTTTTGTAATTTATAAAAAATATTAAAAGAAATCTTGTATTTCTAAACAATAGTCCTAACCCCACGTATTTCTTAAATTTGTTTAATACTCAGCATGAACTATGCTTAACCAATAAACAAATTCAATTTGAACCAATTCTTGATCGATTGAAAAATATTAAATATAAATCGGACAAGAGCTGATGAAATGGAAGTAAAATCTATTTTTTAGGCAGAAAAGCTACGCATCTGTTATGAAAAAAGACCGATATGGAGGAGCATGGTGATAATAATATCAAACATAAACAGTTATTATGTTCAAGGGGTTGGAAGG